TCGAAAGCCAGCAAACAATGGTATCACTGATGCACACTTTGACCAACCACCACCGCTCCCTTCAATTTTCCACTCCTCACTCAGCATTTTGTGTACATTCTTCCATAGGATTGAAGGGCTATTCCCACTTTTCGTCATACTTTCCGTCTTGCGGGTGCTAATTTCACTGAGATTAGTTTGATGAAAGTGACTTGCATAAAGATAGCGGTCAACGGCTTTTATTCCCGAACCATTTTGAAGATTAAAATGCAAGAACATAGACCAATTCATGCTATTGCGGTTCATGTTCGCTGTTTACGCTGAAACCGATAGTGGGTCGGTATAGTGGAATTTTTGTTCTCTATGTCTTCAAGGAGAAAACTCCGTGGCATGGGATGTGCATTGCGGTGGCCGCACGATTAGTCCCTACGTATTAGTCTAACTGTTTCCAGATTGCTTCTTACACCACCGCATTGCTCTTCGGGCAGACCAGGGTGGCGCGTCATACACTTGAAATAGCTTTCGAGGCTGAATGCAACTAAGCACATCCTCCAGCTTAATTTTATATAATTCATCTCCGGGAGAATGTGGGCCTCACGATCATTCTGTTATGCGAACCGCACCATATGGTGGACGTTGGACTTTTTGAATTCAAATCTCTCAAACCATTCACTCGTTTTGATAGCTTCAGTAACCATTGATTCGAGGATTGAGACAATGCCACACACAAAAGCGGATAATATGTTTGAAAAGTACAACATATGCACTATCTCTTGGACCTATATGCGGAGTGACAATTGAGGAGTGCGATTTTACTTGTGAAATTTACTTGCCTGGATATGCCTGAATCCTCCCAACCACGTCCTTTCGACTGGGAATAAAAAGTGTGCATTCCAGCTGCAGGCTTAACAAACAGGCCTAAAATGAAGCTAACTGTTTTTTAACATACGGCCGGAAGTTGAAGTCAGTTAAAGGTCCGCTTGCTTGATTGGTGAAGTGCAACCCGGTGATAGATTTCCCCCTCTAATTTTAAGCACTAGGATTATCCTCACCACTCGATGGTATGAAGATGGACGGCGGTTAGTCTAAAGCCAGTGACGCGTGAGTGCACTATTCTTAAATTCATCT